TGATTATAAGAGAAAATATTAAACATTATCAAATCAATATAAACTATAATAATTTTATTTAATTTACCTCGCACAAGGTCTACATCAATAAATTCTGTTTTTAATTTTGCAGTTCTCATTGGAACATGTGTAAATCCTCCAAGAATATGTTGTTCTACAGTTTTTTCCCATTGTTGTTTATCATAAGTACCAATTTTCTTTTGATACCTAAGATATCAAAATCATTCATTATGTTTATGCTCGTTTGAGTAATTTCCACTAAAATAAAATGCTTACTTTGATAAATCAAAATAAACATAAAATATATCTCTTACCAATAAACGAGCTCATTCAATTTCATTTTTGTCGATCACTATCGTAGTCGTACAGAATGGCTATGAATTTTTAGTTTCAACCAATAATCAACAATATTTAAACGAACGGAAGATAATTTTCCGTATACTTTTGTTAATGAATTTAAGAAAAATGTTGCTCCCATAATATACGACAAACGTTATCTGTCAATATTTTTATTCGAGGTATTCCACCAGATGAAAAATATAAAGTACGAACGATGTTCGTACCGCATCCAAATAATTTTTACGCCATTGCCTAGAAACAAAGTATGCAATTCCTAGTAATGATTACGACAGTGAAGTTTTAGATTTGTACATTTGATTAAAATTAATTCATGTATTTGTTAATGACATTTAGAGCTGTTTCCATACATTGAATATTTTTTTAATTCAATTTATTCGTTATTAAAGTTATTGTACCATTGATATTAATGTTTTTTAACAAAATTGCAAGAAACCAATCCTATAATAATACACACGGAATAATATTGAACTATATTTTTCACTGGTTGTTTTTTTGTTAAAACATGTGCATACCTATAAATGGGACTTCTTTAATTAATTTGAATGTGTATTTATTATTCTAGGTACATATGAAGAATTAGATATTTCTAATTTTATATGAATTTTTCATTTGACATTCTTATTTTTCTTTTTCTTTATTATTATTATAATAACTATATAATTTAACAATGTAAAAACAATTTTTGCTATACAGAATTTAAATATTTTTTTCTGTTTAAAAAAATATATTTATTCAACGTATATTTGTTAAAACTGAATTTAAAATTATTATAATTTTCAATATTCGTGTTATAATTACATGCATTCGCATACATTTTTTTAATAAATATTAAACTTAAAATATATACATATAAATATTCGTTAGAAGGATAAAACATTTGTTACAAGAGTATGTTCCGAAACACGTCAGTCAACAAATGAATTACGTATTTAAATGATATATCTATATCACACAAACGCCGGCTTTTAGGTTAAAATATTATTATTTATTTATTATATAGTGATGTTACGTTTAAAACAAATCATTTTACATTGCATATGCATTTATAATACACTTATTAATTTTGAATGAACAGAAGAAGATATTTAAATAGAAATGTTAATTTTCAATGTATGGTTAACTTTCGGCCTTATATCTTTTGTAAATGGGTTACGTGAGTACGAAAAGAAAGATTTAATTGCTCTGAGAGAAGAAGTGCGATCTATGTTTGATCATGCATATTCAAGCTATTTAACATATGCTTATCCTTATGACGAATTGCGATCGTTAAGTTGCGATGGATTCGATACATGGGGTAGTTTCTCATTAACGCTCATTGACGCTTTGGATACTCTCGCTGTAATGGGCAACTTTTCTGAATTTCGACGTGTAGCAGAAATTATAAGCGCCAGAGCAAGCTTTGAGGCAAACATTAATGTATCTGTATTTGAAACTAATATACGAGTAGTTGGAGGATTACTTAGTGCTCATCTTCTATCACGTAAAGCAGGCGTTAATCTAGAACCAGGATGGCCTTGTAATGGTCCATTACTACGCCTTGCAGAAGATATGGCAAAACGTTTGATTGCAGCTTTTGATACTCCAACAGGGATGCCATATGGTACAGTTAACTTAAAGTATGGAGTTCCAGAAGGTGAAACAAGCATTACATGTACAGCCGGTATAGGTACATTTTTATTAGAATTTGGAACCTTATCGAGATTAACTGGAGATCCATTATACGAAGAAGTAGCTATGAATGCTATTAAAGCATTACATTATTATAAATCAAATATTGGGTTAGTAGGCAATCATGTAGATGTATTGACAGGTCATTGGACAGCTCAGGATTCTGGAATTGGTGCTGGAGTTGATTCTTACTTTGAGTATTTAGCAAAGGGTACTTTGTTATTCCAAGATCCATTATTAGCAACAATCTTTCATGAACATAAAGCTGCGATTGAAAAGTATATCCGTAGAGAAGATTGGCATTTATGGGTTTCTATGACTAAAGGTCAAGTGACTTTGCCAGTGTTTCAGTCTTTGGATGCTTATTGGCCTGGAGTGTTAAGTCTGTTTGGTGAAATTGGAGATGCTATGAAATCATTGCACAATTATCACCGTGTATGGAAACAATTTGGATTTACACCAGAGTTTTATAATATACCGCAAGCTGAAGCAGGCACAAATAGAGAAGGGTATCCATTAAGACCAGAACTCATAGAATCTGTTATGTATTTATACAGAGCAACAGGCGATCCTTATTTAATACAAGTAGGGATAGATATATTGAGAAGTTTACAACACAGTGCTAAAACTACATGTGGATATGCAACAATTAATGATGTTAGGGACCATAGAAAAGCAGATAGGATGGAGTCCTTTTTTCTGGCAGAGACAACTAAATATCTCTATCTTCTCTTTGACCCTGATAATTTTATTCATAATTCTGGCCAAACAGGAGACATTATTGAAACTCAATGGGGTCAGTGTATTGTAGATGCTGGAGGGTATATTTTTAATACAGAGGCACACCCTATAGATCCTGGAGCATTGTATTGTTGTCACAGGAGTCACAATTTATTTCCTAACCAAAAAGCAAAATTATGGAAATTCATTCCTATGAATGATCAGAATGAGGAAAAAAATGCAAAACACAATGTACTATTTCAAGGAGATACTAGAACTAAAAACGACGATAAACAGCCAATTGAAATTGTAAAATTATCTGAAATGAGGCACACTTTAATAAATGATGTAGAAAATAATCTTAATAAAAATTCTGTCAATTCTATGCTTCCAACAAGTAATGAAAATGATGAAACTGTAATAATAAAGGAAGAAGATAAATTAAGTAGAAATAATCAAAATCCTGAATCTTTGAAAGTACAAGTTGTTGCACCTCCTTCAGTAATTTATAAAGCCGATGATAGTGAAAATATTGATGCCTATGAAACATATGATACCCCGGATGGACTTTATTCTAATTCTGCCATAAGAAACAGTACAGAATCATTTATTAAACAAAATAATATAAAAGCACGATTTGAACCACAAATATTGTTAGAAAATATTAGGAAAGGAAATCTGTATCCTACAAATGATTCTGCAAGATTGAATTATCAACTTTTATCTTGCCAATCTCAATCATTCCTACAACGTATATCAATTATAGGCGAATTTTTTTAATGTTATTAATAATATTGTTATATATTACAAATATACTTACTATTCTCAATTCCAGTTTTTATATTTTACCTTACAGACAATATATTTCAGTTTTTTATCTATATTTTGACAATTTTTGTTAATTTTTAAATTATGCATTTATTTTTAACTGTTTGTTATTTAATTTAATTTGTCATTCCATATAAATTAATTTTTTCAAGAAAATTTTGAGTTACTCAAAAATAGTAATGTATCTTACACAGAAATTTGTGCATTATTTTAAAATAAATACTGGAACAATGTTATCGAAACGTATTTGATATATTTATAATTCTTAAATAATGAGATTCAATATACATCTTTATAAAATGAAAGGAAATACTTCAAATTACCCTCTTTTACTAGATTTTTTTTGTACGCATGCGCATACAAGAATCATGTCTGGCAACCTAGTAACGATGAATTATTAATAATTATTGAATTTTTTATAACAAAATACATTACTTAAAAAGTCAATGCTTAGCATATGTTTCATTCAAATAAGTTTTAAAGAGAAATGTAGCAAAAGTAACTTAGTTAGAAAGAAAGTTTTATTTTTCAGCAATAGTACAAGTTAGCCAACCGAAGAAATATTAAATGCAATGAGCATGTTGCACATACTGTGCCTTTGTAGAAATGTTGAATAAAGAATGCATGTAGTAGGGGAACCCCCATTCACAGGAATTCCCTGAACATCTCTGATGAATAATGCGCAAAAGCAGATTAGAATAGATATTTTAAACCAAAACGTTTTCAAGTAAATCATATAATATTTTAAAAAGTCTTAAATATAACTTTAAATATTAAAACGCAATTGTATCCAAATTTTAACGTATCATACGCATTAACAATTTTAATGTTGATATTAAATTAAAAATAAGTTTTAATATAAATAGTTTAACTAACAATTAACTACTTGTATAAATAATCTTATTTTTCTCGTAAAATACAGCTCTATACATTACTCAAAAAACTAAATATACAATTGAACGCTAATATTTAAAGTTTTATCATTTTTGTAAATGTTACACAATTCATTTAAAATTCTCCTAAAACGTACGAATCAAGTTCCTCTTAATAATACTATCGTGGCATTTATTTTAAAAGTATGTATAAATATGTATTTTACATGAATTGACGCCTGTAAAGATAAATAGAAATTTATTTCAGGAAAATTCTCATCAAAAGATGTACAGCCAATTACTATTAATGTATTGAACTGTTATAATAAAAGTTGCTATCAAAAGTAGAAAAGAATCGATGGGAGTATGTACGGCTGTATACTCAGTAACAATAAAAAAATTCTGGAACCATATAAGTTAAACATTAACTTATATAAACGAGACTTCTTAAATCTCAATTATTCTGCACTCTAAAAATAAATTTTAGATTAAATACTTTTAGATTTATCAGATAAGTAGGAACAACATTTAAGGAACAATAGTTCATATATAAAAAAGCTACATTTATTACAATAAATTGTGAAAATATAAGAATTCACTGTGTAATAAAGGGGGAAGTACGACGACTTTACTTCGGGGCTTCCCTAATTGGCTGCGCGCGCTGATTTTACTCTCCGCGCAGTATAAATACAGGATGCAGAGCGCAGTTCGTTATAACAATTGCGTTACGACACGAAATTACATCGTTCATCAGCAGCTCGCAAGCATACGAATTTTACCGTAAGTTAAACCTTAAAATAATTCACTTCTCTTCTTACAAGTATTTTCGTGAAACACCGTCAGTATATGAAACAAATTATTTCGAAAAGTATACAAAAATGTTGTTTAAACTTATACCTTTTAAAAAACGCGTATTATTTTAATTCTCTCCGAACTTTATACTTTTAATTGAATATGACATATCTGCACTTATTGTCATTATTATTATTCAATTTATTTAACGGACCGATTCATATCTTATACCTTTTTTATTTTTCTAGATGGACCGAGCACAACAAAATAGAGCAAATCAATGTAATCCTAATCACACACCGACTGGACCTGGGCATCAGGCCGGTTTTCACGGAGATAAATCCAAAGCAGCTTTGGATAATCATGCAAACCAGATGAACCCAAATAACCCACGGTTTGCTAGAAAGTAAACTACGATGTACTTGTAACTGGCATTTAATTCATAACGTGTATATTTCACAATAATATCTGTATTTTAACAATGCCATAATAAACACTATATTCATAAAATAAGATTCGAAGTTTTTACACCTACAAGTTTCCTTCTCCTAAAGACCATATTCGACATCCTTTAAAAGGATTGCATAAAATAATGCAAAGACGATAGTAATAAACT